GTGAAAGAGCAGACTCATAATTTTCTGTAGTAAATATCATTATTGTGGTTCTGGTTTGATGGTGATTTCCTGTTTGACCCTTTGAGACCGCGAGTGTAAAAGATGGATAAAGAAATGAGGTAAAACAGAGGGGAAGCCAATGAGGGCAGAATAATTATTGGAAAATAACTAGAACAACATGTACAGGAAAAATACATGGGCAAAGGAATTAAAATATGTCGCACATATGCTTACCATAAATTATACATCATAACACTCAAAATCTGACTTGTTCAGCCTTACAAGACCGCAAATAAAGAAGTAAGGGTGCCTTTTTCTCTTGATTAAAATGCAAGAGCCACTCTCTGGTTAGCATTGTGTGACAGACTGTGTGTGCATTATGCATGCATGTAACATATGTGAAAGAATGACCTGCTTTACACCACTGCAGTCTGTTGTCAGAGTGAAGATGTGTACTTGTCTGACTGTGTTTATATTCAACATGACTTCTAGATCTGGGTTATTTAGTGTCAAAAGCAGCCTGCTTACTGGGCCTGTCCTTAAGTAGCTTTGTGCATAGCAGTGTGTGTCCTTGCTCGTATGTGTGTGTGTGTGTGTGTGTGTGTGTTGTGGGTCATTGGTTTTGACCTGCTGGTGTGGAAGCCTCCAGTCAGATACATGCTAATAGACTCTAATCATGGCTGACACACGTGTACCAGCTTGACTGTCTGTGTGTGTGTGTGTGTGTGTGTGAATAGACAGAAATATTACATCTCACCTGAGTTAACGTTTAGTGTTCAACTAATATTCTGTGCTTTCTTTGCATCTTTGGATTCTATTGTTTCTGGATTTGTTATTTTTGTGAGAATATTTTTACCTGCAGAAGCAGATCGTCTAGATAACTCTAGTTCTCGAGCCAGAGGTGAACTCCTCCTACCCATCTCTTCCCACGCTCTCGAACAGTCTGCTTTAATTGTCTACATAAAATGAAATCATATCTTTATTGTGGGTATTCAAAGCAGATGATTCAAAACAGATGATTGTCAATAGTGCTCTGAGGGCAGCTCGGAGACAGAAAAATGTCTCTCTGATGACTTTACATGACCCTTCATGGTTAAGGAAATATCAGTCAATATTAGAAAGATATTAGTAAATCACAGAGGAGATGGACTGGAGGAGGCAGGGCCATATTGCAAGCCAGTTATGATGACTGAAATTTCCTCATCAGGGAAAGTCAAAATGCCCTAATGTGAGATGACGATTATGGACAAAAGCACTAAAATCAAAGCATTGCTGTGTTGTTTGAGAAAAGGTATATTACTAAACCATAAATAAGTGATATTAAAATTCTAGCTAATACTGATGTTACGTTCACGTAATGGATTATATTACAAATCTATATGGCTTTGTAAAAAGAAAGGAAGTTAAAACACACTTAAACTACTTAAAGTAATTTAGGCATCACAACATTTTAATACAATATGAAACATACACATTCCTTTTAGAACCTTCTATAAAAAACAGTATATACATTTAAAAACACAAGTATTCAAAATAATAAAGGAAAGACCCTTACACTTGTCAAATTTAGAGCTCTTAAAAGGGTTCAATCTTTGTTATAATTGATCACCACCCTTTTAAATTAGTGCTAAAGATTCTAAATCTTAAAATTTAGCAGATACAATAAATAAGAAAAACACAGATACCAGCTGGTAAATTATATGATGTCAATATGTCAATAAGTTGCCCCTATATGGAAAACTTTATGGTAGATTATAAACTATTTCATGCTGATGTCCACTGTCCAACTATGTCAATGTAGGTTTGATCACTAACTGAATGATTTTCTAAAAAAAAAAAAAAAAGTCTAATTATGTGATATAAACATATAGCTTCACTTTCTGTTGAGGATGTAGTCATATGTTTTGCATCTCTGTTAACTATCTTGCCTGATCTATGGAATCTGTATTTCCGTGTTTTGTTTTATGAATAATACTATTAAGCAGAGTCACACTAATATAGAAAAGAGCAATTTAGCCTCCTATTCCATAAAATGTCTAAACAAATTAACTGTGTGTCAGACATAGGAGACAGAAAGCAGACAGCATTGTGGCGTCTTCAGAGATAAATGTATTGGTAACCAGACCCGCAGACATCAATGTGCTTCTGGAACAGACCTAACCAGACCACTTTCTATCACTTAGCATTAGCATTTAGTCTTAATAACAGTGCTGTGTCCAGCTCATTGTGTAACTAATGTGAATGTATAACCACCTCAAGCAGTTGTCTTATCAATTATCTTAATATTAACATGATTAAAGAAAAATATATTAAGATTAAGATTATGACTGCAGATTCATTAGCAGTGGCTTAGTTTTAGCTGACTTATCTGCATACTGTCGTCAAGGATTAAATATCTTTGAATTTCCTGAGTGAGCGTAAACTGTTGGTATGTCCCTTGTTTTACCCTTGAGATCCTGTTGACAATGTCTCTCTCTCTCTCTCTCTCTCTCGCTATGTGTGTGCCTTCATGTCAGTGTAGATTTTCCCATGGGACGGAGCGGAAAAATTTCAGAGGTGTGGAAATGTTCAGAAAGAGGCCTCCCCCAGGTAAACAATTAGCTACTCATCCTAAACACACACATACACACACTTTTAAATTTAATTGCCATATTGTGCTCTGAATTTAAAATACACACTTTGATTTTAACCTTTATGTGTCAGCAAAATAATTATTTGTTAATATTCATTTTAAAAGTGCCCTTAACACTCAGCTCAACCTTCATTCGATGGCAATTTGTAACTTTTATGTTTTGGTGAATTGGTGGCTAATCCATCAGAATTCATACAATTTAATTTGTACATTTTTGTACGATCTACTTACACCCCGTAGACCTGAACCAGGTTAGATGCCATATTGAATTTGACATGGATGAAAATGAGGCTGTGAGGGATCGACTAACAGTCTTTACAATGGCATACACCATATTAAGGTCCTAGATCACATAATTTTCTGGAGTTTTTGTCTACTGAATATTTTTTCAACTGAACAGTCGGCATATTAAACAACAGCACAATCCATTGAACACACAGTACTTATATCCCTCACTGCCACAATTTCATTCTTGTCAAAAATTAAATTTGGCGCTACTTGATTAAAGTTCTATTGATGGTTAGGTTTAGGACCTTCATGTTGACTTTTTTCTAAAAATTGCACATATATACAAAATCGCCACCAGGTAAAATGTTTCTTTATGACATCGGGTTGCTCAGCTTGAGCAATGATGCTTATGAGAATTAGTCTAAAAATATGCAATATCCTATTCATGCATCAGTAGACCTTAGTCAGGGTTGTGCCATATTTAATTGACAGGAATGAAAACAAGGTAGTGAGGGATAGAAGTACAATGTGTTCAATTGAATATACTGTTGTTTAACAACATACAGATTGTTCAGCTGACAAAACATCTTTATGAAAAAAGGAAAAAACAGTTTTGAAAGCTGTGAGTTGGCAAAAATGACATGATCTAGGACCTTCATATAGTTTATGCCATGGTAAAGACTGTCAGGCTATCCCTCACAGCCTCGTTTTCACTTGCTTTAAATTCAATATGGTGTCTAACTTAAAGCTGCAGTCCGTAACTTTTAGCGCTCTAGCGGTTAATCAACAGAACTGCGTGCGTCTTGCAGAAGAACATTGTAGCCGGAGCTACTTCTCTCTGTTTGTCTATGGCGAATCACGCAGGTACTGGGCTACTCTGCAGCGGTACCTACCCGAACCAGTCTAAATAGTCTGAATATAAACACTTATTATAGGTGTACCGTAGTGATTCAGGACAAGCCAAAAACATGGTTTGGAAAATTGATTCATGGTGTACTCGCTTATTATATACATTTAGTAAATTTTGAACACAAAAAAGTTACGGACTGCAGCTTTAACTATAAAATGAAAAACTGAAACCTGAACTCGTCTGTCTTACTGAATTTACACTTACATTTTATATTGTGTTATGTGGTGCAGTCAGATAAGAACAAGTTCTGTGTGTGATTGGGTAGCCACAGGTGTGATTTTGTTCCAAAGCTTGTGTGTTTTCACTGTGGTGCAGTGCAACATCAAAAGTTAAAGATATACACGTGAGTATATGCTGGAGCATTGTGCTTAACAGTCCGGAGGTTTCCTTCCTTGGCACCAGACTTCCTCTCTCTCTCCACACATAACAGAAGTAGCACATGCACAGACACCTGACTAGTCCAGATGTCTTCCGAAGTGCCTCCCTTTCTTACCCCCCTCCTTTCCCTTAAGTATGAAACTGTCTGTTTATCAGGAGCCACTTTGGCTCTGAATCTTATTACTATATTGATATTTCATTGCCAGATGAGTCAGTATGGTCGCTGGCTCCTTGTGTCTTCTACCCATACATGTTATACAGCTCTGCAGTCTAAGTTGCCCTGGCAACCTCCTCAGTCAGTTCCTATTGGCCACATCCTCGACCAATAGAACAGCTTTCTGATTATGTCATATAAAAACAACGTCGTAGTTCTAGTGGCGCTGCTTGACAGAGTCCGGTGACAGTGTTAATATAACATGTCGTCAGCCTGGTGAAAAATCGATATTTCAGAGGTTTTTAGCTGAATGTCAATTAATATTTGCTTATGTAGGAGTTTAAAGCCACATTTATTTATTATACTTAAATATTACATGCATATCTGAAACGCAGAAAGTTACTCTAAATGAATGTCCAAAAACAATCCTTTAGTGTAGAAAATTCACGCTGTTTAAAAACATTTAGGAACTAGATTTGTGAAAGTGTTATCGAATCGCAACGAATGACCTCAACGACTCTGCGGCAAATCAAAATTGAGAGGGAGTGAAGTGTATTTTACCGCCGCGTCTGTAATCTGATGTCTTCCACTCAGCGCTCCGTCACTCGGCGCCGGTCTGCAGCTGCCGCGCGCACGTTTCCCCGTCGCTCCGCTGGTGTGATGTAGGCTACGACTGCTGTGTGCTCAGAGCTGTGTAAATGAAACGACGGTGGGACAACATGACTATCCCGAAAGACATCCCAGAGAAGTGGTTTCCAATCATTCTCCCTCTAAAAAGGAAGAAAGAGGGATTAAGCAACTCAACAAAAATAAGAAAAGGAGCAGGTACCTTTACTGTGTGTCATATGTTTACCACAGATGATGTGATCTAGTTGGTGATTTCTATTATTCTAATATATGTGACATGATATTCATATTGGAATAGAGGTCATTTAAACATTCAGATAATAATGTCACATTTATTTATTTATTTATTTAATGTTTCTTCTTCCTTCAACACTTCCCTGTCATGTAAATAAACAACCTTGTCTTCTTTCATAAATGTGCTTATTCATTCATTATTTTACTCTCATGATTCTTACAAAATCACACCAATGTCCAGTGACCGATGTGTGTATTCTACGACCTTGTGGTCATAACCATCATGCTTTCCCTAGTCAACATTCACAAATCACTCAGTCAATTAATTGCATCTCAATTTATTTTTAAATGTAAAACAGTCTGTATAGTCAGTCTTTAGAAGGTCTTGTTATTGATGTTATTGAGATGATTGCATAACCTAATTTCTACATTGAAAGTTAATGTCTTTTAAGATCTGTCACACTGTATATCTCACAATATTCAACTAACCGAGTTAGAATCTCTTTCTCATCTGCATTTTCCCAATGAATCATAGCAGTTTATTTCACAGTGTTAAATGAGTGATCTGTGTGAACTGCTTATCAACATGAGGTCCGATTTTGCACCGTTTTAAATGTAATATATGTAATGAACACAGCCTGCAACATTTTCACTCACTGTCATGTTTTGTTTTTGCAAAACAGTTTGTATTTTTCACTAAATGTTGTTGTAAGTTTTTGTTGGTGAAAGTAAGTAACTTGATGCTGTTCTGGTTTGTAGAGGTGTTGAGCTGGAACTCTCAGATTCTGTAAAGCCAGTCCGCAACTGAACAAGAATTGCTGTTTGATTGGGGATCAACTTTATGTGCTTTTTTTTTCTCTTTTGTGAGGTCTTGGGGATTTTTACACTCAGTGGCCTCAATATATGTGTAGCCATTTCAGTTTATCATGTGGAGTCATTTGTTCCACATTGCTGTGATTCGTACCTGTACAACAGGCTGGAAATCATAGTGAGATTATTGATTTTACCTCTTCGACATTCATATTTATGTCTCACTTTCCTTATGACGAGATAAGTTAAGATGTCTGTCATATATCGCAGTGTCTGTCACAGCATAGATGCTCTCATTTTCAGTCACTTTAGAGATAGAGCCATCTAAAAATGACCAGAATGATTCAGGCAACAGTGGTGGCTGTCATGTGTAAAGGTGTCAAAGTTTCATTTTAAATCAAGAAGATTCCCACAAAATCACCTTTTCTGTCTTATTTGTACTTGTCAAACATTTCAGATGTGATTAGACATTATAAGTTACTTATTAAGTATAGGAACTGACCTTAAGTTGACCCTTAAGGCCAAGAAATATCCAGTGGACAAGTCGCAGAAAGAAATTCATTCTTATAGTTGACTTTTAACCTTAGGTAGGAATAGTTGTCTTAGTAACACTGTTCCTGGCCTTTTCAGGGGTTGATTTCTTAACACTGGGCTTGTTAAAGTGAATGTCTCTTCTGACGCAGTCTATTGTGACAAAGTGGTGATCATCTCCTGCATACTTGACTATCATATCTCTGTGCATTTAACATTGCCATTATTATCCTTACTTCCAGTTAGAGTTGGTTCGATTTTAAAGGTATATAGGATATAAATGTGGAAGATAAGTTAACATATCTGTAGATCATATGCTATCAGAATGGATAAGGCAGAGTTAGGTATAAGTGACTTCTGAATGTATTAGATATTTATTTTAATGAAAAAAATATCCTGCAGAATCAAGGGTTTAAATGGGGAATTCACCACTGGCAAGATGGGCTTTTAATAAAACCAGGGTGCAGTAAAAATGTGAAAATTGACTAGAGAAATGGTTGTGACTTTAGCTGAAAAATAAGCAGGGATATCTGGGTACAGGTAAAACATAGAAAGAATACTAATATAAGTTTCACTCATATTGATTGGTTTATGTTTATATACTACTGTCATTGTAACAATATAAAGCTGGTTGAAAATCAGCAGACTTCTTCAAATTATGTTTAAAAATAAATTAGCAAAACATTTTCGTTAACTACAAATACTTACAATACACACTTTAATTCACAGTTTTATGGTATACTCAGTGTTTTTAATTATTTATTTAGTACAGTGTTACAAGTGCTTTCTTTGTGGTTACACACACACACATCTAAAATAGCCTTTATGGAACATATTTTTGCCGCACTGAATGTGTTGCAGTCAGTAGGTGTTATGTGAACCTCTGTAATTCCTTTACTCAGAGAGTCTGCTCTCTGCTATTTTACAGTCAGCTATAATGTGGCGAAACCCCCTGAGTATTTGACGAACATACTTACTATATAAACTGTCATATTGGTGATGGATGGATTTGGTCAGTCCAGTAAAGAATACTGTAGGTTGGTGAGAGATGGCGAGTGTATTCCAGTATGGATAGATGAGTCAGCCAGCTGGGCATATGTAGGCACTTGGCAAAGAGTAGAAGGGATGGGGAAATGGGAGCAGACTGCAAGATAAGAGAGAGCAAAAGCAAGCAAATGATGCATAGAGACTGAGATGAAGTAAAAGGTCATGTGGAGGTCATGTGCTTTTTTTTTTTTATCAAATGAACAAATGCTCAAGATGCTCAGCATATGTTTTGGTATTACAGTGTAGTACACACTCTCTCACCATATTCAGAACAGGAAAATCATCTGCTTTAAAGGGGTCATATGATGTTGCTAAAAATAACATTATTTTGTGTATTTGGTGTAATGAAATGTGTTTATGCGGTTTAAGGTTCAAAAAACACATTATTTTCCACATACTGTACATTATTTTTTCTCCTCTATGCCCCGCCTTTCTGAAACGCTGGTGAACTGTTCTGGAACAGTGTTGTAAATACAACTTAACCACTGATTTCTAGTCGTGTCCTCTTTTGGAAGGCCAAACAAAGTAGTTTCGCTTTCACAAGCGTCACACATGGTGGGCTTGAGTGAGCGGCGGCCGGCAGATTCAACGAAGGAGCGTCCGGCGGGCTTGCGGCAACCATATGTGACGACCCCGGGCTGGACTCCACTTCATCCACGGTGAAAGCCGATCTGGCGATCCACAGCGCGAAGTTGATGTATTCCCTCAGCGACCAGCACGGATCAGCTCCAGGCATGACGAAGCGATATCGTCCTCTTTTGGAAGGCCAAACAGAGTAGTTTCGCTTTCACAACGAAACACACAGCATCTTCATGACATGGCGGCAGCAACAATACTACAGCGAGAATAAAAGTTATGCCTTCTTTCTTTGCGTGAACATTAGGGCGGCGTTATGCAAATCTTCCCACATCCTGACGTAGACATGTGGGGGTGTGTTAGAACGAGCCGTTTTAGGTAGGCGTGGTTGACTCTTAACTTATAAAGAATATCTCTTTGGATTTGAGACTTTAGTCTTTGCAACTTTACAGATCTTCTTTATGCACCAAGAGCTTGTAACACTTCAAAGAGAAAGGAAAAATTGAAATCGCATCATATGAGCCCTTTAAGGAGAATGAGAGAGAAGTAAGAATTAAAAGCAGTAAATTAAAAGAACTCTTTAGGCAAATGCAACCGTTTAAATGAATACATTAGTGAGTATTTGGCCTCTGTTAAGGATGGAGTCATGCGTTTGGCTCGTGTTCTGGCTGTTCCTCTGCTGTGTGTGCAAAAAGGTTGGAGTACAGTAGCAATTAGCTCACCCACTTAGAGGCTAAATTGAGCCTGTGGCTTGTCTCTTTTAGACATTAAATGAGACAAATGCTTTGAAATAGTGGAGACAACAGGACCTTCAATGGTGCTTTAGTGCTACTTTGACACTTTGATTAAATGTGTGATGTTTTTAGACCTGTCTGAAAGATTCCCTTTGAAAGCAATTGATGGTGTTAACTTGAGAACAATCTATATTAACTTAATAGAATATTATTATACTAAGTTATTTGAACTTTTATTTCTCTCACATCAAGGTTTATTCTCATTTTTCATTCTTCACACTTCAGGGTCGTTATAAAATGGTATAACGTGTGCCAGTTTCTTTATACTTTTTGTATTCCTGTTAGATTCATATGGTTTTGAAAGACCATTTATATAATTTTTCAAGAAAAAACTCATGTTGTATAACCAGAAATTTATGTGAGTGTCTTATTTGAATCATATTCTTTAAAAAAAAAAAAAAAAAAAAAAGCTTTACATTTTTAAATATCTTTTTCAAGTTCTTTTTTTTTTTTTTACAAATATCATAAATTATTAATTATTATACTGTTATGTTTTGAGGGTCGTATCGCATAACATTTTACAACCTTAACTAACCTTTCCTTCTCAAAAGATTAGCCTGATATTCTCAATCTAATATTTTAAAAGACTTATTGACCTTGTCACAAATCATGAGGGTCTGCAATGAACCTTTCTTTGATATCATCTTTATATTTAAATTTTTTTTCCTGCATATTTCTGCATGTTGGTTGAACCATGTGACTTTGATGATTTCTGAAAGATCATGTGATACTGAAGACTGAGGTAATGGCTGCTGGATATTCAGCTTTGCCATCACCAGAATAAAACAGAAATAAAAATATTAAAATAGAAATCAGTTCTTTTAAATTGTAATAATATTTAGCAATATTCGAGATTTTACTGTATTTTTCATCAAATACATGCAACTTTGGTGAGCATAAGAGACTTAGGCCTATGCCAAAATACTTTGATTTTAATTTAGAAAAAAAAGTCTCATGTCAGTCACAACAACGCTTCGCATGACTTTCAGAATAGTCCATCAATGCACCACTAGTTTACACAAGACATGTATTGCATCACTGCACATCCATAACTTGCTTGTCTGTTTGAATTTGCACAGATTTGTGAGCTAGCATAGCGGATGTCCTTGGCAGTAGTGCTGAATCACAACAACAACCACTCTTCTGTCAACGAGACTGTTTTTGAGAAATGTTGTACAAGCAGTGTTTCACTGCGGCTCTCGCTTG